GGACTCCCCGAGTTCGAGTTCCCTGAGTTCGACTTCCTTGAGTTAATATTTGTAATCATATCTAGTTAGGCTTTAGCTTGCATGATATTTGTGTGACTTCCTTGAGAGTCTGTGCAAAATGTGAGTTAGCTTTGAGTTTGTATATGATATTTTTTTGATGGGTTGTTATTCGCGTACAGCTGTACAGTGTGACTTCCTTGAGTCTGTGCAAATTGTGAGGTTAGTTTGAAAATTCAGTTAGTTTTCTGTGTGTAGGAGGAGCAGTTTTTCTTTGGAGGTGGCACGGGGTGTTCTTCGTCATCCTCCTCGTCATCCTCCTCGTCATCCTCCTCGTCATCCTCTTCGTCATCCTCCTCATCATCCTCCTCATCATCCTCCTCATCATCTTCATCATCATCTTCATCGCCAGCATTGACAGCATTGGCAGCATTGACAGCGGCTTTCTTATTCTCCTTATTCGAGACCACGGATTCGGCGGAGGAATCGTCAGAGTTAGAGGTCTCAGGCCTCTGCAGGAAATAGTGTAGCTGCGTCTGCTCACGCTGCTTGGTTTGGACCTGCGGCTTCTGGTACTTCATAGTGGAAGAGAGGCCCACACCGGCCACAGCAATGCCCGAATCGTTTTTCGGCATCATGCCCGAATTCTGGCCAGTGGTCTCCATTTGCTCATTTGCAGACGATGGCATTGTGAGATCCAAGCGAGTGCTCTCCAAGAATCCCGATTCATTGGCTGTGGAGTTCTGCGATGATGTTTTTGGGGGCTTGTAGACAAACGGATCGTCGCTGTCGCTGTCGCTGTCGCTGTTGCTTGGCGACATCTCAACATCCATGTCGGTGTCATTCAGCGAGCTGCCCATGGCGGATTCAATGCGCTTGATCTTCTGCTCAATGCCCGCCAGCTCTGCGTTCAGACGCGTGCTCTCGCGGCTGGTGCAGGGCTGCTCCAAGCGGCTGTTGATGCACATCATGCGCATCTGCAGCTGATCCAGGGCCTCTCTCAGATCCCTTTTGATTTTGTTCATGCTATTGATAAGCGAGGTGCGGTCAGCGTCGGACAGAAGCTTGGCAGGCGCGCGCCGAGCTCCAGACGATGACTTGCGCCCAGTGCCGGTCCCAGTTCCGGTCCCGGTCCCGGCTTGAGCTGCGGCCCCATTCGAAGGCATGCTTAGAGGCAGCTGCCTGGCGCTGGTCTGCGGTATATCAATGCGACGCTGTGCGGGCATCTGTGGCCCATCCATGGGCTCAAAGTCAAATTGTGTATCGGTGCTTTGCTTGACGCGTTTGCCATCCCTGCGGTCAACATTCTCGTCGGTGGCCTTCTTCTTCCCATTGATCGACATGTGCTCCAGAGTGTCACTGAGCGAGGAGCTCGAGCTAGCGCTTGATATGGTGCTCGGCTGTGGCTTTGGGCTGGGGATGATATTCATGTCGGTACCCAGATTCATAAGCTTGCGACGAACCTGAGCACGCTCTGCATGCAGCTTCATGGCCAATTCGCTGCTGCATGGTGCATCGAGACGCCTTTCGATAATGGCCAGACGACTGGTCAGGTAGCTCTTCGTATTTTTACGTCTCATTTGTTCGCGAGCCTGAAATCCAGGCTGCCTCATCTGGATGTGCGTCACGGTACGGGCTACATGGACCCGGGGCGCTATATCGGCCATCTGGCACGTAAAGGTCTGCGGCGATGTGAGGGACATCTTAGCCTGGGCCATAACAAAGGCATGAGACCGTGCACGATCCTGAGCATCGGCCAGAATTTGATTGTAATTTCTTTTCAGAGCCTGGATCCGGGCGTCTGACAGAGCTTTGGCTTTGGCCTGAGCCTCAGCCGCTGCCTGGGCCTCAGCCGCTGCCTGGGCCTCAGCTGCTGCCTGGGACTCAGCCGCTGCCTGGATCTCAACCGCTGCCAGGGCCTCAGCCGCAGCCTGGGCCTTGGCTTTAGCTTTAGCCAGAGCTCGAGCTTGAGCACGAGTCCGGGCTTCAGGATGAACGTGAGCATGAGCTAAGGCCTGAATGGGCTGGGCGTGGTCACTGTCATCAAATCCTCCTCCTGCTGTTGCATCCACCTGAGCCTGGCCATCGTTCGCACGACGCTGACGCCTGCGTGTAGCTTGAAACTGTGATTGCAATGATTCCGGTGAATCCAGCGATGCCTTGCTGGAATCGCTTTCCGAATACTCACAGGTCGACGACGAGTCGACCGGCGAATCCGGCTTGGCCGCAGCCGGAGCCATGCCCTGGCCACAGCCCTCCGATTCGACGGGCGAGTCCGATTGTGGAGCCCGGCCGTGCGGCACAGTGATGGTGAGGCCACCGCCGAGTGGAGTGAGCTCGGGCTTTGGCTGAACTTCCACTAGTTCCGTGTCATCCGATCCGGTCGATGACGTGTCGGAGGAATCGTCAGCCTCCTGGCGATCGTCTACGTTGGGCTTAGCTTCATCCATTTTCGCAGCTTCTGCTCCAAACTGGGTTCTCAATATGCTGACACTGCGTTCGATGCTGTCTATCAATGCCAGCTCCACGGAGTGATCGGGCTTGGTCTTCGTTGGTTGCGGCACGTCCGTCATATCGGTGGGGGAGTTCATGTAATGGGTGGATAACTTATAGTTGGTTTTTTGATCGACAATATTGGTATTTGATATAGGATATGGTTGGATCGTATCCAGATCCGTATTATTATGACAGAAACGTTTGGCCTGTGACATTTCCGTACATGATGGCTTGCGTTTGTTGTATGAAGTCAGTGAATGTATGTAAAGCGGACGCCATGTCGAATTGCGCATTCGCTGCATACGCAATTCGCGTGCGTAATATTTCACGAAACGCATACATAGGAGGCCCACTCGGAGCTGCAAGGGGCGAGACAGCAGATGGGCCGCTGGCACGCGAATGCAATAATGCACGAAATATTCCATATACTGGCCAATCGGAAAATTTAGCTGATACTGCAGCACAGGATTGTTCGCCAACTCATGGATGGCCGTCAGCAGCGAGCTGGTGGTCGGATACCTGTACAAATTGGCTATTGCCAGGCCTGCGCGAGACAGCGATTGGTCGCTGTTAAGTGCGTGAGCATTTTGGCTAACCATCAACGGATTCATTGCAATGTTTCGTATTTATCTTATTGAATGCCAAATGAAACGTTATAAAACACAATTGAATTCACCGGAAAACAAAAAAATTGAGTCGAGAAAATAAATTGTATTTTAGACTTACTTGAGCACACGAACTGATTCGAGCAGAGCTTCAAACAAAAAGACAGGATGTGGCTTTCAGGAAATAGCTTGTCAGAAGCAGTTTGATTATCGATAGTCTGCTGTTGCTTGTCTGTCGCCTAGGATTCTATGAAATTGTTCAACACTGATTCGCCGAATTACAAATAAGCAGAAACATTGTGCACGTGAATATATGTATGGTTGAAAGTGCCGCAATTTCCTGTAGCTGTTGCAGCGTCTGCTCTAAAACGCCTTTGCCGCACTCTCCAACATTGCATTTGCATTGCGATAGTCCGAGTTTAGCTCTATAATAGAAGCTCATCTCTAGAAAGTAAGCAGGACAGCAATGCAGTGGCCCAAGTTTGGGGCATAGCTGCTGCACTCTTCCCAATCGCTATCGATGGCATGGACAGGTGTCAACGTTGCCCAACACTGGCTTAATCAAATCATCAAACACTGGCACGTGCCGCGCCATGGCACAATTGATTGTCAGATGAGATGGCATAATAACAATTTCCATGTGCCTCGTGTCGAGGCTTTCGAAAGTGAAAATCTGACGTGGCTTAGCATTGGCAATGCCACCAACAACAACAACAACAACAGCAGCAGCAGCAGCAGCAACAACAACAACGAGAAGAGAAGCAGCAACAGCGAGCGATCTCGGCGCATCTATTTGAATTTTGAATTTTGTCGTCTCCGGCTCTAGTCGAAACTCCAATGAGCTACCTGCATGGGATTTGCCGATGCGCTGACTCAGCTCCAATATGCAAAGCAATAAATTTGAATTGTGCATCGCATTTGGCCAGCACAAGGCCAGATGCCCGTGGATGCCGTGGGTAGCGCAGCGAAGATGCAGACAGACCTATTTAACGCCTCGAGCCATCAAAGTGCATCGTGGGCGTCGCTGTCTCTCCCTCTGTCTGCTGGCTGCTGCCCCTTGCCTTTCGCGCATTCAATGATAAGAGCTGCAGCAGACGCCGGCACGAAGAATGGACAGACGCAGACTCAGGCAAGACGACTAGCGAATGCTCTCGATGCAAATGATCCAGCGAGGCAGAGGCAAAGGCAGAGCCAAGGAGGGGCTTACATACACATATAATCATTGATATAATGTCAGGTGCGTTCCTAGCTAGCATCGAAGCTTCTTACAGATCCATTCGAAGTTCTTAATTCGTAGTAGTTCCCGACGGCGCAATCTAAGAACTTTTCGAAAGAGCGTTTCGGTTCCAGATTTTCCTTCAGTAAAACGCTTGCCTATCGTGGCCAAGAACAGTTAGAAGTCACCGGCAGCCATACCATAGTTATATGTACAGTAGAATCCGGTTATAACGACTCCGCTTATAGCGTCTGTACGGTTATAGCGACGAAAACTCTGGTCCCCATACTATATACTATATACTATATACTATATACTATATACTATATACTATATACTATATACTATAT